CTAGGCTCCCCTTTCCCGCGAGCGTTCGCGCCAGGCCGGGAAAGCCCCAAGCGGGACCCCGGCTCCTGTCACTCGGGCGGGGGTGGGGAGGCCGCCCTGGGCTGGGGGCGCGTCGTCTAGGGGCTGAGAGCCAGCGAGAACCTGGTCTGTGGAGGGGGCTGGGAGAACTTTCTAGAAAACAAGACTAAATCTGGCCAGTGCCACTAGGAAATAATGAATATTTACATGTTTATATTACATTATATTTATTCTTTTCCCCAAAGGATCCATGGCAATATGAACCGTTAGCATTCGAGCTGAAGAGTATATATATCAAGAGTAGCCTTAAAAGTGGGGGAAATGCCGCCCCAGCCAGCTTGGCTCGGTGGTTAGAGCGTCGGCCCTCTGACTGAAGGGTCCCTGATTCGATTCCTACCAAGGGCACCTACCTGGGTTGCAGGCTCCACGGGGTCCGGGTGAGCGCAGGAGGCAACCACTCAATGTGTCTCTCTCACGTCGATGTTCCTCTCTCCCTCTCTCCCTTCCACTCTCTCTGAAAAAGCAATGGAAAAAATACTCTGAGGATCTAAAAAAAAAAAAAGTGGAGGAAATGCCAAAGGTCCGCATATTTAAGCAGTGGCGGGCAGAGGTTAGTAGAGGGGCGGTTCACTTTGCAGCTGGTCAACCAGCCCTAGTCCTTTGGTGATGGGAGTGGGGAGGAGGTGACTTAGTTTCTAAGTAACAGGGGGTATTAGAGCCTCTCAAGAGTCTGTTTCTACCATTAACTGACCTGCCACTTCCTCTTTCCCTTGTCTTCGGTCTTCCATCCCGTCTACACACACAACCTCCCTGAGTTGATGCCTAGCAGCCCCATCCCTACAGCAATTACACCCCCAACAGGGTGGGGCCCAGGTAATGAACCCGCCTGGCTGCTCCCTCAGCAAATCCCTGGTGCCAGGTGTTTGCTTCTCCAGACTTAGGGCTCTGGATACAGACCCTCGCTTCTATTCCTGGACTGCCCTGCCCACAGGAGTAGTTGGTCCCTACTAGTTTGTTGCCACTAATTTGCTTTGCAAATTTCCTAGGGGTCTAGAATCTGGAAGGGAATTCTCAAAAAAGAATGTAGCACATTTTCTTGGGGACCACAGAGCAGTAATCAGGTATCACCTTGTTGAGAGTTGCAGTCAACCTGGGCTGATAGAAGAGGGAAGCCGACCATGATACAGAAAAGGGGAGGAGTTGCCAGAGGCCATACAGCCCTTCACCAGTTTAGCTTCCTCTCTTCCCATGGTGGTCAACTCAATTTTTCATGTCGATAGTTTAGTGTTGTTCTAAATCAGGGGTTCTTAAACTGGGTTTCATGAAGTCTATTGGGAGGGAGCTTTCAGAGGGCATTTGAATCTCCAGAAATTATATGCAAAAATTTTGTATGCATTTTTTTGGAGTAGGCGGGAGCCATAGCCTTCCTCAGGGGGAGCCTGCAAACGCCCAGCATTTTAAAAAATCACTGATCTTCATTAGTTCACATTGAAAAAGTGACCAAATATTTGTTGAATTTGGGGAAAGTCATTTACTATATACAATTGTTGAGTCTGGACTATAAGCTGCACAATGGGTATTTGGAGACCTGCCCCTCCACATGCACACCCATATTTCTTTTTTCCTTTAAAAAAATTTTTAAATATGCTTTTATTGATTTCAGAGAGAAGAAGGGAGAGGGAGAGAGATAGAAACATCAATGATGAGAGAGAGTCATTGATCAACTGCCTCCTACACACACCCCCACCGGGGATCAAGCCCACAACCCAGTCACGTTCCCTGACAGGGAATCGAACCATGATCTCCTGGCTTATAAGTTGATACTTAACTACAGAGCCAAACTGGCCAGACCCATTTTCCTATTTCTACCTTAAGACCACTTGCTCTGGATCACACTGCCTAGTGTTGCATCCAGCTGGACCACTTACGACCTGTGCACTCCTGGGCAGGTTATTTCACCTATGATAGCCTTGGTTTTCTCATCTGTTAAGTGGGAAGAATAATGGTAGCTGCCCCACAGGACTGGAGTAAAGAGCTCTAATATACCTACACACTCAGTAAACGTTGGCTATTTTTATTATGGCTATCTCTCCCTCCTGCCTTTACCTACTACTCCCACTTCTGCAAGGAATAAATCACTAGAAAGGCTGTGGGTGTAAAAGGCAAAGTGCCATGCTGGGAAGCAGGGAATGATGCCTAGAATTAAGAATTACCTACTTAAAATCAATACTGAGAAATCCACAATTGACTGTAGTAGATGGAGTCAGGCCACCTATTTAATTACAAGTCACAATACCCACTAATTTTTTCATGAAAGGAGTAGGCACTCTAAGAAAAAGGTACATACAGTACCTTTCTCAGTGCCACCAGGAAGGCTGGTTGTATGTGAACACACAGAAAGGAACCGCAGAGAAGGTTGTCTTGTGAATGCCAACAGCTCCCCATTCTCCAAGCTGTAACTTCTGCAGATCAGCAGCTGAGCAGCAACCAGACAGTGAGCAGGAATGCCAGAGGAAAGAGCCGGGGTGGAGCTGGTCTGCAAACCTGAGAGAGGCATCCCAGACTACTGGCAATTATGTTTGGTTTCCATCAACTACACAAAACACAAAGTTCAAGTCAATCAAGGCCAGAGATGGAGAAGGGTAGGTCTGTGGAAAAGACAAAGGGCCCTTCCACGAGAGCCTGCCGCAACTGGCCCCACCATGGAAGTCTCCAGCTCTAATAAATACCGGCTGTTCACCTACACAACAAGCAATAATGTTCTGCCTCCAGGTCTGGCTCAGCTCCACTCTCTTTCCACTGGGAGCCAGGCAAGGGGGTAGGTGCGTCTGTGGTTCTTTCTCTGGCCACATTCTTCTGGCTCTAGGTCATTCTTCATTCAAATTGCTGAAAGCCAGTGAACCTCCCTCCTTCACAGTCAATGTGCTCCTGAATCACTTGGGGAAACCTGCTCTTGACTTCTATATGTATAGTTATAAACTTCAATT